ATATAAAATGGCCGCAACTCATTCACATGGTTGACACTGACAAAAGATCTACAAACTGCGGTACAGAGTTTCAGGGTGAATCCTGAGGGGATTTGACTGACCTTGGCAGATACAAAATTACATTTCTTGTTATATAGGTCTTGCTTTATCTTGGTTTTAACCGTCCAGCAGAAAAGTATAAAATGAAGTATAAAAAGTAAAGCCATTTTAATATGCTGAGCTCTAAAAAGTTCAAATCAACAACTTTGGACATTGCCAGAGCTGGGGATAACCCACTACTAACATGGAGGACTGCACTATATGGGGTTATTTTGCTGAATTCACACACCTACAATATTTAAATGGCAATGGAATACTCATCTTACCACTCAATCTTAATCTGTGTGAAACTGCTGTTGAAGTTCTAGATGGGAAAAATATTACCAGTTTATGCTTAGTTTAGAAAGCTTTAGTTCCACTTCAAATTTGAATAGCAGTCTTTTACATTACAGTCAGGTAGGTTGGTGGCTATTTTCTTCAAGGTTTTTAAACACATCATTTTAAGTCCTCCTGGCTTGTAAGGGCTGTCTTACGTACAGCCACAAAACCAGCACAATAAATCCTGCTGTAGAACATGGAAAACCAAGGTAATTCAGGACAGGAGCATATAGCAATATCCTGTGCTGTTACACAACTGCATAACATATCACACACACACACACACACACACACACACACACACACACACACACTCTGCCTTTATTCTCTGGGAATCCTGCTGGAGACCACGCACACTGGACTTCTTTTGCTGAACTATACCTAACTGAAAGAGGGTTGTGCAAACCTCTCTATGCTTTAGAAGCCCCAAGACCTTGTTCTCCTCCACCAGGGGTGAGAAGCCGCTTCTGGCTGGGCCTCTCCGGACTCCTGCAGGTCCAGGAGGTGATGCTCCACCTGCAGTCTCGCTCTCGGGTGCACCGCGGGCCCTGGGCAGAGTCAATCTCAGGTCAAATCCTGTGTCCTTTCAGCCCTGGCCTGAGCTCGGTGGGCCAGAGCACCTGGGACTCCAGAGGTGAAGCCCTGGAGTGAGCAGAAGAGCACTGCACTCCTGAGCTGTTGGGATGAGCAGTGGGGGACGCGGCCCTCGCAGGCTCCGGCCCCCCTAAATCCCCTATGAAAGACTGCGCCATACTCTGCTCCTGCTGCAGGGCTCAGGCCATCTCTGCTCCTGCCCTCCTCCCTTTTGGTGTTTCCTTCCTCCTGGTAAATGTGTGCCCCAAGAGCTGAGCTCACTCTGAGCGGCTTCCACCCTCAGACACCCCAGCCTGGCTTTCTCTCCAGCACCCAGAAGCTAGCACCCTCCCCTCAGCCTCCTGGTTTCACTTTCTCTGAGTCACAGCCACCGATGGAAGGCTCCCTATAAAAGGGGCTGTTGCCTATCTAGGGAGAAAGGGTTTTGGGGGTCCTGTAGATGGAGAACGAGAACGTGGGCATCTCTGCTCTGCACTAGCTACCACGCTGGAGTCGCTGCAGGTGGCTCGCAGCAAGGCCCCATCCAAGCACCACTTCTGCTTGATCTCCCCACGGGGGCAGGGGAGAGGAGCCTTCTCAGGGATCTGACCACTCGCCTTCCAATCCCGAGAGAAATCCTGGGATCACCACCGCTGCACTGCTCACAGAGGGAACCTGTTCTGAGCATCTTCCTGATGATTCCCTGTCCTGGGCAAAGTCAGCACTCGGACGAGGCCTGGAGTCTCTCAAGGAGACCAGGATGGGAATCCCCTTGCCATGCTGAGCATGTGCTTTTGGTGCCATGTGGATTCTTTTTGCCTCTCTGCTGTATGTCTGGACACCAAAAGGCCTGGGTCTTGTCTGCCCACTGCCTCACCCAAGTTGCAGTCCCGGGGCTTCCTATGGTTCCTCTATCTCCTCTATGTATATTTTGATTTGCACGAATAACTTAATAATGCATCATTTCTCTTTTGTGAGTAACTCAATATGTAAGTAATTTAATGAGAAAAATAAAATAGAGACAGTAGGAAATAGGAAGGAAAACATTTATTGTTGAAGGGGAAGGGACCCCAGGAAGGGAAAAACAGAGAAGCCTAGGGCCAGAGAGATAGCTGAAAGGACTAAGCACCTGCTTAGGCAAGTGCAGGGACAGGGCTTAGATCCCCAGCACCACATGCAGGCTTGGCATTGCCCCCAGGTGCACTGAGCTAGCCACCAAGGCCAGGTGTGGTGGTGCCTGCCTGTAATCCCAGTGCTGAGGAGGTTGAAAACAGTAGGATCACTAGGAGTCAGAGCTGTGTAGTGAGACTCTGTACCAAATATACAAGAAAGAAAGAAACAAAAAAAGAAGGAAGAGAGGAAGGAAAAAAGAAAGAAAGAAAGAAGGAAAGAAAGAAAGAAAGAAAGAAAGAAAGAAAGAAAGAAAGAAAGAAAGAAAGAAAGAAAAATGGAGAAGCCTAAGAGGTGAAGGGTGATTAGAAATGGTCAACTGCAAAGTGGGTTTATGACATTTTCCCAGAATAAATGGAATTATGGTGCACCACGTGCATGTTTGAATAAAACTTCTTTTCAAAGTTCTGGACTACCGTGCGTGCTGCCTGCCTGCCTGGCATTTTCAAGCCCCAATCCTACAACATTTTACCAAGGAATTTTCACACTCCGCCCAGTCGATCTCCTTCTGCCAGATTGGTTTTCACTGGCAGACACATTAGAATGCCTGCAGACTCGCTCTGCCTTGCAAGAGGAGGAAAGCACACTTACGGGCTGCTTGTTTTCCAAAAGGCCGATTCTGGTGCTCTGCTCAGCGTATGCCCCTCTTCCCAGCAGGGTCTGAATTTGACCCTAAACTGTGAGTCTGCAGAAGTCCAATTTTAAATATCTTTATGAGGGCAAAAATTAAGGTTTCGCTGAATACTTTTCCCTTCCAATTTTATTATTCAACTTCTGCAAAAAAGTCAAAAGTATTAATGATGTTTATTAGTTCGATAGTAGAAGTGAGAGGGAAAAAAGTATAAATTTAAAGGTTTTGAAGGAAGATTTCTGCTGGATTTGGCCGTTGCTGTCATTCCTTTAGACATATAGTAACAGGTCTGGGTTTGAGTTATTAAAAAGATGCGGTCATAAAAGAAAAGAAAATGAGAGGAAGAATAAAGAAAGGAGGGAGCAAAGAAACACTGCGAGCAGACTGGACGGGACCGGTTTGCACTGGGCAGAGGGTAGGTTGTCTCACGCTAGATCGCTGCCCCAGATCCCAGAGCACGGTTCAATGCGAGCTGCGTCTAAGCGGTAGCTTTGAAGTCAGAGCAGCAGACAGGATTTAACAGATTGGGAACTGCACTTACACACAGAATATGAAAAGCTACAATGAACCCCCTTGCATCTTGCTTAAAAAAATCTAGTGAATTAGTTTTTCTAGAAAAATCACACTTGTTCTTTTCTACATTTAGGACAAGGTCTGCAGGGTCTGCAGGGTCTCATTGTGTAGGTCAGACTCATAGAGATGCTCCTCTTTGCAGCCTTCCGAGTACTGGGACCACAGGGGCAGGCCACCACGCCCAGGCTCACTCGCTGTCTCAGCATGCCCTGCGACCCCTGAGCAGGCGCTTTACTACACTGAGCTGTCAGGCCAACCCTTAGAAAAATAGCACTTTTTATAAGTCTCTCTCAGGTCTGAGTTTGTATTCATCCCAAAACTAAATTAGAAAGACAAGACACTTGCAAGAGGACCATGAGGAACCTGTGAAACATCTCACACTGAGAAAAAAGTAAGGAAAGGAACACCTGTGACCAGCATGCATTAATTGCAGCTCACTATTCAGATACGGTTAACACAAACCCTTTGAGATGAAGACAGGAGAACATCTTGACAAGAAATGGCTTACATTTATTCTCCAAGGTTTCTTGGCAGGTAACTATCAAACACAGATTAGTATGACGGATAAAAGTGATTTATGATTACTGACATTCCCCATAGGTTTATCTAGAGGTCTTTGCAATGCATTGAATAGTACTTACACTGCAGTCAGAAATCAAGATACAGCAGTATGCCAGATGTTTCTAGGTACATGGAAAGTGTATAAGTTGTACCGTAAAATAAAGGAAATACACATAAATGCACACACATGCCCCCGCACAAAATAGGATATATAGATGTGATTTTAGAAAGTGATCAGAGAATTTCCAAGAGAGGAAAATGGAAAGGACAAATGGTAGCACTGACCAGCAGTGTAATTTATATTTTTTGGGCAGGGCAGGGGTGTGGTGGTTGTACCAGGAATCAAACTCAGGACCTCACACTTGATAGACAAAGGCCACACCACGGAACTGAATCTTCAGCCCATCTGCAGGTTCATTTCAATTGTCTGGAGCCCTCGCTCGGTTCCAGGACTTTGTGGTGGTGGTGGTTGTTGCTGGGAGTCTAACTCAGGATCTTGAGCTCTCCAGGCAGGCACAGTACTGCTGAGCTATAATCCAACCCCCTTTTCTAGCACTCTCAGGACAGCGTTCTTCACCTCTCTGTTCCTGAGGCTGTAGATGAGGGGATTCAGCATGGGGGTCACAATGGTGTAAAACACAGAGGCCACCTGATCCTTGCCCAGGGAGTAGGACTGCTTCGGCTTGAGGTAAGTAAACATCATAGTGCTGTAAAAGATGGAGACGCCCACAAGGTGCGAGGCACAGGTGGAGAAGGCTTTTTGCTTTCCTGAAGTAGAGTTAATTTTCAGGATAGTGGAGAGGATGGACATGTAGGATCCAGAGATGGTGATGAGGGACACTATCAGGGTGGAACCAGCAACAAGAAGTACCATGATTTCAACCTTATAGGTGTCACTGCAGGACAGGGCTAACACTGGGGATGTGTCACAGTAAAAGTGATGGATGACATTGACATTGCAGAAGTGCAGTCTGCTCATGAAGATGGCATTAATGGTGGAGTCGAAAAAGCCAAGCACATAAGGACCAGCGAGCAGGCCCCAGCACAGTCCTGGGGACATAATGACCGGATAGTGCAGAGGGCTGCAGATAGCCACATAGCGGTCGTAGGCCATGGAGGAGAGCAGAAAGCATTCAGTGCCACCAAAGAGGATGAAAAAGTACATCTGGGTGAAGCAGCCCAGGAATGAGATGCTCTTGGTGGAAGACACTAAGTCCTGTAAGGCTCTGGGGGTGATGACACTGGAGTAGCTGAGGTCGAGGAAGGACAGGTGAGTGAGGAAAAAGTACATGGGCGTGTGCAGCTGGGGGTCCAGGCAGATGAGCAGGATCATCCCTGCGTTCCCCAGCACCGTGACCAGGTAGATGAGGAGGAAGAGCAGGAAGAGGCCCAGCTGTGTCTCTGCAGAATCCACCAGCCCCAGGAGGATGAAGTCGGGCACATCGGTAGAATTCGGTCTAACCATGTTATCCTGTTGCAATTATCTGTTTAATAATATGTGATATTTAGTCTGCGTGACTTCAAAAATATCTCACTGTGAATAATAAAGATTTTTCTTAATATAATTTAGTGTTACTATGAATCATAAGGTTTTCATCTAGTGGCATGAAAAAATAAAATTGTCATGTATAGATACAGGTATAGATTGACATTTGCCATTAATATTTCAAATGATTATTGTTTAGGTAGTAGGGGTGACCCTGAAAATATTGTGAGTACTTTCAATAATCAACACGTGCAATCCATATGAAGACCACTAGTGTAGACACTGGAATATATGTGGACAACTTATAATAGAGTGAGGGCCCCAAGAGAAACCTCTGAAATGAGACCAATTCCGTGTTAACAGTGTCAACTACCAAGAGCTGTTCACTGCAAAGAGCATAATGAGGGAGCCCCCCCACCCTGCCTTTCTCTCTTTTTCATCTTCGTGACGCAGCGTCTCACTGCACTCTCTGTGTAGCCCAGGCTGGCCGTGAACTGGCTGTGCTCTTCCTGCCTCAGCCTCCAGAGTGCTGGGATTACGGGCGCATGCCTGCACACCCAGCCTCTGCTCTTATAATAAAAACCAGTAAACCTGATGAAAAAATATTCCCGTTGATGAGTCTGTCCAATATTTACGGTGAGTGTAAATCAGAACAAAAATGTACAATCCATACTGTGAAATAAGCAGACTTTGTCCAAGACAGAAGGAACTAGGTAAGGAGAGGGCGAATAATGGCAAAGAAAAGAAAACGACGAGAAAAGAAGGATAAAATTCAAATCAGATTTGTAAATGAGGGAAAACGGGGTTGCTGGGAGGGAAAGGGATGGGGGAAAAAGAGGAATCAAGATAGAGCACGTTCAGGTCCCAACTCCCTGAGACACATACAACCATCATGTAGACCTGAATTGTACCTGCAATAATGTAGTTTAAAATGAACTTTCATATATTGTTAACTGCTCTTAGTTTCCAACGCTGTTTGCCAGTAAATGTCAACTTCTCTACTAGGAGCTTAAGTGTGGCATATTAAGATATAGCCACATATTATTATTCTTAAAAATGTTGAAACTGAAATTTAGTGAGAAGTTAATTGTATGTGAGGGTCATTTAAAAGACTGGCTGTGTTTCGGACCTCCTCCCACTGGGAGCGGCACCATCCCTCTGTCCTCTCCTGCACCCGGAGGTCTGCACCCCGGGAAAGCGTCGCATACCTCGGAGAGGACCTGAAGCGCTGACCCAGGCGGTCGTGGCCGGGTATAGTTAGGACAGAGCAGGAAGGGAGCACAGAGGGACCTGGGGGCCAGCGCCCCGGTGCAGCTCAGTGCAGAAGGACGCAGGTCTGGGAGGGCAGAGCCCCTCCCGCCCCTGAGCAGGCCTGCGGACGGGCCCTTTTCTTTCCCAAAGGGAAGTTTCTGCCTCCTCTGTGCAGAGACAAAGGGCAGCGTGGACCCCCGACTCTGGTCCGGATATCTTCACCCCACTTCATCCTTCCCAATCTAATTTATTTTTAAAATAAATACTTTAAAATTTTGTACATTTTCAAATTATGTACTTTTGCCGAAGATTGCCATTCCATCCAGCGTGTAGTCTAGTTTCACAAATCTTAACGTTATTCAAGGTTAGGTCTGAATAACGTTATGAGGCTGTTTTCCTTCATAACAATTTCCATTTTATTTTATACGATCTAATCCTCTTCAATTTGCAGAATAATACTTACTCTGAGACAATGTTGCTGAAGTAATATTTTTCCAAGGTTATCCTACTAAAATCTTGTGAGGCTCAAATTATTCTCTGAAGTTAAATACTAGAAGCAAATAAGAAGCTGAAAATTCTTGGAACATATTTGTGTTTCTTGGTGTAATTTTTTTTCTGCTTTTGTGCAATCATTTCTTTTTTATTCAGAAGTAAGAGTTCAACTCTTGCTTCCTTGGAAATTTTACAAAGAAGTTTATTTTCTGAAAAGAATCTAAGGCCAGAACGGTACACACGAACAGGGCAGCTGCAGCTTCCCTGTGTGGCTGAGAACGCTAGACCTTCCTATAATGAGCGTCAAAGTAGGGCAGCTCTTGGGCTTCCTCAAAGCACAACTTCAGGGAAGGCTGCTTGGCCTGGTGCCAAGGATGCAAGTTCTAGGACAAATTCACAAAAGAGTTTTTTCACCTGCAGAAGTCTCATAAACAATCCTGCCTTTATGCAATCATCAAAGCAGTGGCTGAAACTCCTTTATCCACTTTTCACAGTGACAGCAGATAGAAACTTGCAGAGGAAGACATTTACACTGATGATCCATTGGCGTTGTTTCACTCAGCTGTTGGTGACCTTACCTTTAAAGATCTATTTCTGATTAATAATGTAAAGGATGCAATAGAAAAATTTCACCAGGAAATATTTTATGTTTAAAAATGTGACTTCGCTGTACAAGTCATATTCATTAGAAAAAAAAATAGACAACAACCTAAAACAATTAATTTTTTGTTAATATTTGTTTACTCCATCATTTTTCCCAAGCATTTGCCTTTCTACCTATAAAGTTTATTTGGGGGCATACTAGTATATTCACCTAATTATTGCAATACTTTGCATTCAGTATCATCTTTATTCAATATCTGAAATATTATATTATCCCATAACTACGGTAGGTTAACATGTTATTAGCTAACGCCATAATGTATTGTGTATTCTATGGTATTCTGTCCTTCACTAAGCAAACTGAAACCTTCCAGAGCATGAATAGAAATCCAAAGGCATCCCTAAAATGAGGTAATGGCTGGGAAGTTAGTTTGGCAATGTAAACTTTGTCTACCTGGCAAGGGCAAGGACCAGAGTTCAATCCCTGGTACTTCATGGTGTGCTGGCCCTAGAGCCCTGGGCATGATGGGTTGTCCTGAAACAAAGCTTGGTGGTGCAAGCCTGGAATCCCAGCATGGTGGAGGCTGAGACAGGAGGATCAGTACAAAATCAGTATAAAATATGGGCCCGGAGATGGCTCAGTGGAATAAGCGCTTCCCTGGCATGCGCAGGGGCTTAAGTTCAATCCCTGGTTCCGCCAAAAAAAAATAATAAAATAAAAAAATAAAGTAAAATAAAATAAAATGACGTATAGCCTCCAATCTGGTTTGTCTGTATCGTCTACTACATAGGTGTAGTCCATGTTGTGTAATTATTTTCACTATTTTAGTGGATTTATTTTTATTTATTTTTCTCTTTTTTTTGTGGTTCTGGTGATGGACACAGGATGTTGTGCTTGCCAGGCAGGCACTTATATCCCCAGTTATACAGATAAGCTATATCTCCAGTCCTTAATTTTCTTTTTATTTTGTAAGCGACAAATGAACAGAGAGACACAATTATCCCTGAATCAAATAGAAATTTTTATAGTGGATTAAGTAGACAAACACATATTTTATGTAACAAATTCAAATACCTTAAAAACAATAAGAAAGTAAAATATAACAGCAAAGCTTAAATTTTTATACTCACATTATCTTAGAAGACGAAGCAAAGAGTGAATAAAATATTCACAATCTGAAGATGAGAAAATTACAGTGAGTGTTCGTTAATTCATGAATAGATAAATATTAGAATCACTAGGAAAATGTGCTCGTGTATGAAAATTTCAGGGACACTCTGTAATGGTGGATAAAGTAGTACTTCTGTCAAGTGTTCTATTGCTGATGGACTTGCTCCAGTAAAACACTATTCAGGAATATTTTAGATTATAGCATGAGAGGTTGTTTGAGGAGCAAATTTCACATGATGCGCCTACCACCTAAAGCTGGAGTGTAACTGGGATGAAAGACTAGGATGAAGATCTCTTCCCGTGTCCCCACGGCAGGCATGTGACCGCAGGATGCCATGACATAGGTTTGCTCAGACAAGCTTTTCTATCACAGAAGCATCTGGGCTGTGTGTTGAGCTACTTAGGATGGCAAAGACATTCTTCTAACAACAGTATCACAGCCACACCGAAATGATACCAGGGATGGATAGCCCCTTTCAGATTAAAGCGTGATGACTTTAACATCGTAGTCATCACATCGTTTTCCAGTCCCCCGACCTTAGGAAATATGGACCCAGTTCTCTTCCAATGTGAAAGAGTCAGCATAGTTTAAATTATCAGATTTATTTTTTATTTCCTTCATTTCTATCTCTCTTTGCACACTCTCTCCTGGATTATTCTCGTATGGTTTTCCTTTTTCTTTTCTTTGATGCACTAAATAACAATGTTTTCTTTTACTTTTATACGATGGAGTATTACTTAGCTATAAAGAATGATAAGCTTGAAGCCTTCATATATACACTTGAATATCTACTCACAAGTGAAATTGTCCACATCCACATGTGTAAATGGTGTATAGTCTCCTTAATGTAAAAACTCAAAAGAAGAAATAAAAATGGAAGTGTGTAACACAAATGGAAAGTGAGAACTTAAAGTTAACGAAGAGAGGGCAAGGAGAAAAGCTAGGAAACATGGCAGGGGCAAAACCATGCATTTACATACACAAGATGGTTAAGGCAGTGGTCCTGACGATCTCCATCAGGTTCTTGAAACTAGTAGTTGATAAGATTCCCACCCTGACTAACTATACGTGCTGACACCTGTGAACCAAGCAACTCCACTGGAGAGAGCACAGTGTAATGCAGGGCCCTGCTTGGAATGCCTGTCTTTCTGGTCCTCTAAATGCATATGGCTTCTAGTCATGTCTATTTTAATTTTAAATGATATCATGTTTTTACAACTTTAAGAATTAATAGGGGCCTGGTGAGCTAGCTCAGCAGACTAAAACACCTGCTTAGGCAAGTTTGGCCAAGCACAAGGACCATGGTTTGATCCCCAGCACCATGTGCTGCTCTAGCCCCGCCCCAGGGCTGGTCAGCAGCAAGAGTTGGGGTGTAGTGGCACACTCTTCTAATCCCAGCACTCAGGAGGCTTAAAGCAGGAGGATCACTATGAGTCTGATCCATGTAGTGAGACCCTGTAA